TTTGATTGTGATTCTGTGGTATCTTTTGAAATTTATGTGTGGGAGGAGGGAGGAAGGGGTTAAATTTCCCTGCTGCATCGCATGATTTTTAGAAATTTTACAAATTTTTTTTGATTATGTCTACGGTATTTTCAGAAAATTGATCGCAAAATTCAACGTTTTTAGAATTTAGCATCTCAGTGAATGGGCCGTTATTTCAAAGAATTCATTGTCTGGTCATTTTTCACTTTTTTTTAAAAAAATTATCTAAGGATTCTTTAAAAATCGCAGGAAATTTTCAGATGGCTCAGTGCTGCAGCACTATTTTTGGGGTATCTAGGGAAACTGAAGAATACATCAATCGAATGGAAAGGGACATATCTGCACGGCATGAAGTTTCTTCGTTCGTTTCTAACGGAATTGCTGAACGATGTTGTAAACTGTAGCTCCTTCCGGGAACTTATCGGTGTTCTGAGGTAACCTTTACTTTGATGTGTACCAGCAGTACAAAACGCATATTGTCATGGGGTTGTCTGCGTGTGTGTTTGTGTGTGTGTGTGTGTGTGTCCACAGCAACTTGTCCGCAACTTTCAACTCCGGAACCACAAAAGCTAGGAAGCTGAAAATTCAGGGAACGTTCCCCACCCACGTGTGACCCCGCAAATTTAAATTCAGTTTCCCCGTCCTCGCGAGTAACACGTGTGGCCCCGTGAAAGTTTTTTACGGGTAAATTAATATCTCGAAAACCACGGAAAGATATTCACCCTTCACGGTTTCGAATTCAGCTTTCATGCATTGGTACGTGAAATTTTTAGCTGTTTTCCAGTGTTTGAACTATTTTTGCGTAGACTAAAGTACAAAGCTGTGAAAATTATTGATAGACAGTCGTTCTATGGGCTGAATTGCACAAAACGCATGATCGCACCGGCTAGTCTGGTGCGCCCTGCTATTTATTTGTCATTCGTAGAAGATATATATTGCTTGCTTTTGTTCATCATCTTGCCTTTCCAGGGAATGTACTCTTCGCGAACTTCTCAGTTCATTCACGGAAAATTTGTTGGAGAAAGAACTGGTGCTGCAGAGTTGCCTGAAGCTGATTATTATGCTTCCAGAGGTGGCGGCTTGGGAAGGCGAGAAAGTTAGTTTTGTCATTTTTTATCCTTATTTTGGTAATAATTTAGCATTATCTCTGAA